TTCAACTGGGGAAATATGGATCGAGCGCCGGTGCCCGCAGGGAATCCCAAAAAGAAGCTCAAACCTGAGAAGGGATTCGATTATCACCCTCTTATTGACATGTGCTTCAAAAATTCAGCTCATATTACCCTCGTACTCGAGGCAGGAGCACTTGCGTCAGAGTATTCGATCGCAACCATGCGACAACATGAATACAGGGGGATGCTAATCCATTCTCCTCCCAAGGAGCCTGAGGCACCCTCGATGTATATTGGAGTCAAGGGTGACCCAACAACAGACATCGCTCTCGTCCATCACTTTTACCGTCATCGAACAATGAAGCCTAAGAATGGTGGTCCCAAGAAGCGACTGTGGGCATGGCACGGTGCGGTATGCCGCCTCACCTTTGGGTACCACAGTACCATCCAGGAGGCAAAAGAATGGGTCCACCCATATTCTGGCCAAAGGATGACGAGAGACGAGTTCATGCAGATTATCGGATATGACCCACTCAAGGGCAAAATCCTGACAAGGATGGACCCACTGATGGCTCTTACCTCTCACCAGAGGCGTGCCTGACACTGTCGAACCTCGACCCCTCGCCGATTCTCTGTGAATGGAACGGCCATGTCGAGGGTGATGAGCCACCAGAGGAAGACTTTGAGTCATACGCAGAGATCTTCTCACAAGAAGCATCGAACGATCTTGACGAGATGTGGTGTACGAAAGGGCCTTACAAGGTCATCAACCATCGCGATCGTCCAGTTCAACTCATACATGAACTCATAAGGAAGAACAGAGACTCGAACTGGTGAACTCGTTCCTCAACGAGATTCTCCCTTTAAACCGGAATGTAATACGGAGATCTCAATAAATTGCGGCGAGGCTCAACCTTAAAAATTTAAGACTTTCCCCCCCGCAAAACATTTTGTTTTCTCTATAACCTGGAGAATAAACTTGCCAGCATCACAAATGCAGGAAGCACTCACAATCGGACCACTTTCTTTGCTTGAACAACTCCGAACGCACCGCACTGGCCACGTTCAAGATCGTCCTACCGGCGGGGACCCCGGCGAAGAAAGTTGCTGACCTTGACTGGTAATCAACAGTTATATCCTTGACTGGTAAAACCCGCACACGGGCGTCCCTAGTCCAAGAATGTTACACCTGCCGCCGAAAGAACATACTGGGAACGAGTCTCAGATATGTGGCAGGACATGAACAGAAACAGGGATATCGATATCCGTCTGTTTGTCTCAGTCAAGCAGTACTATTCAACTTTTTCTAACCTTGACCTATGGTTGAGTCCCTCTGACAAAGATTGGCACAGCCCTTTGGGCTTCACGATACAACCAATCCTAACAAAAGGGAAACACAACCGGTCAGATGCCCAGGTTCAGAAGATCGCTGACAAGCGAAAGGCTTTCAAGCAGCGTAATGCTGAATACTGGGGTTACAAAGATTCATTCGTTTACTCATCCGGCAACAGCTGGTACGACAGATCACAACCATCAGGTAGCCATCACAGATACGGAAGATTCTGGGAATGGCCACAGCCTGAACGTCCCAGCGAGCCTGAAGGTCCTCCTCCAAGAAGAAGCCAGGAATCATCACCTCTGCACAACGATCTACCAGATCTAGGTCCGGCCTCAACGAACCAATATTGTTGCAAAAGCTCAACATGCTTTGGAAGAGCTGGCATGGACTAAAGGGACCGCACCAACAAAAATGACATCGAAGATACACAATAGAAACATCAACTGATGTCTGCTCATAGAAGATGAAGATGGAACAGAGGACGAATCCTCCAGCCGGAGAAGAAGAAGGAAGGCATCGCGTCCACCTTCTGCTCCGAGCGGCAAGGCACTCAGAACAGCTGCTACAGCAGCGGGATTGTCGGGCTGGTTCGGACACCGCAATCGAGGTGGAGCAAACGCAGAGTCTATCAAGACTGATGAAACTTCACTTCCAAACTCACTAACCAGTGAGCAGGACTTCTCCGTCTTCAGCATCGCGTGGAATGTGTTTCTGCTGCTAATGGGCTTACACTGGATGTGGAAGCAGATTACCAGGCCTCCTATCAGATGTATGGAGAGCCAACAACCAAAATCAAAAGCAGCAGCGAACCAAAGAGTTTCCATTTCCTCGAACCCGAAGGTAACCGCAAGCGCGTGAACCTTTAGGACCCAACAGGGTCAATTCCGGAGAAACAACCGATCTGCGACCTATTTGGCATACTTCCCGAAGCGAAGTCTACCATCTCTCAGACAGCTGTTACCAGCTCAAGCAAGCAAGAGATGTTTGCAGGAAGGTGCTGTGCAAAAACTGCCTCCATGCAGTACAAGTTGCGGAGATTCGCAGAAACGATCCTTTTCAAAGAGGTGATACACGTCCACGTGGCACCGAAAGAGACATTGAGCGCTTCCAGACCTACGATGATGCAAGTACCACTCCTCATATGACGCAATTATTCAAAGATGCATTGCATGCACAAATGGCCGAAGAAGCCATGCAGATTAGCTATACATCGATCCCCAAGGGATCCTCGGCAAAAGCCAAAGGTACATCTGCACTCTCAATTGCCGCTCTTCTTCAGCTGCCCAAGGCATGCCACCAGTGCCTAACAAAGGCAAACATTCACCTCCACTAAGAAAGCCTCCGCCAAGCGAAAGTAACAGTACCTTCAGATCCTCCGAACCAAAAGGTCCTACCAGAAGATGAGGTCAAACTCGGCGCATTCAACGAAGCACCAGAGAGCCCACGACACAGTTGGGGGTGTACTCTGCCACCTCATGCCGACGCTGCACTTAAACGAACCAATCAAGGCCAGGATTATATTACGTGCCGAAACATGGCAGCAAGACACGTCAGCTCTATCGATGCAACGGTAGAAGCAGCCGATCAGTTTACACAACTCGTGCTACAGCACGTAGAAACATATGATGAAGAGGAACCGTGGAGCACGGAGTTTCTACCAGTCGTGGAAGTCCTATTCAGGAACTTGAGCAGCGACGAAACACCTGTCATACATGACAATCATACGGTAACTATGCCTATTGAGAAATATCTCGACCTCCTCAGAATCGCACAATCATTGCGAAACTCTATCCAGAGAGACAAGGAGGAAAGAAAGGATCATCTTGACACCATCCAAGATACTCTATACAGAGTGGAAATCCTTCTAACAGCACTGAAGGACTCAAGGACAGTCTTTAACCAATTGGTCCATTCCTCACTAGAGATAGAGCGAAGAAATAACAATCTCAAAAATGTCCTCGAGACACTCTTTGACGACCAAAGCTCTGAGGAAGACCATTCAGAATCTGACAATGAAGAAGTCCTAACTCCTTCTGCAGCACAGTACTGGAATAGCCTTTATGCCCACGCCTTATCTCCTTCAGGAGATGAAAGTGAAAGATCATGGGCGTCCTCAGACGGACAGCTTGAAAGAAGAAGGGCTGAACGGGCAAAGGCTAAGCAGCCACAACCGGCTAAAGCCAAGGCAACTCCAGTCAGCTCACAAGCTGCGCCAAAGGCCGAGCCAAAGGCGACAACATCCAACCATGGATATGATACTGCAGACGCCGCCTTCACCAGGGCTGAGAACAGACTACTCGGAATTTATTCAAGTTCCGAAGAAGATCACTCAGACCCGGATGAGCCACATCCGAACGTCTACGCTCGAGCCTATGATCCAAACCTGGATCCAAATCTGAGATAAGGAAAATCTCGGAGTTTCACAACAGTGACTCACAAAGCTCTAACAAGAGCAAAGTGAAGGGCTGCATAATTCGATGTAGAAAATATCGCCAGACATGATCTTGTACAGACGATCTCTCTGACCAACATGCATGAGTGTGTGCAAAAGGAGTGTCCTCAGCAGTGTACTTCAGTGCTATACCTAGCTTAAATAATATGCTGTTTTCATCATGAGTCCAGACTCCGCAACTGTGACAGTGGGCATAATAGTATATGTGTGAATGTGCGGCCATGCTTCCGGTAAAAGAAAATTAGTGTCTGTTTGAAACCATAAACCTCTAAAGGGGTAGCTCTAACAGGTACCTACAGCAATGGCTGCATGCTCATACATATACATTCCGCTGCCCATTGGCTCACAGTGGTTTTACCATATTGAGACAAGACAAGCTCTCCTTGCGTAGCAAGACAAAACAACTACTGTCCGTGTGCAGGGCGCTGCCCTTTGATCCTTAGGGAATAACTGGTCATACACCTCCTAACAAGGAAGTATTCCTTGTGGGTGTATCGGCACAGGGGGGGGGGGGGCCCCCCCCTCCACCTTATCCCAGGCACAACCACCTTAAAGGGGGGGGGGGAGGGAAGCACCTTATCAGTGGAAAACGCACAATGACAAGGTGAAGGGGGGGGGGGCCCCTCCCCCCCCCCTACCCCCCACCTTAACTCTTGGACGTCCCACCTGATAAGGTGCAAACCCTGTTTTTTCCCTAGTGCCTTAATACAAGTGAATTGCTAAAGGGCAACTCCCGCGAGCTCCACAGAGCTAGCTTTCGTGATACTTCTAGATTGCCTTGATTGTTGAATCCTACGTGCGTTAAACCCAAAACATCTCCATAAACTGCACTGGAACGTTATCAACCTTCAAGCCGAAAAACAGATCCCAAAGCCCTAAGCTTTTTGCCCCATCTTTCAGACGGCAGTCGCGACTGGAGCAGCGTCCGTTCTTCGGGATTCTATCGTGCGGCTCCGAAGGGGGTGGAGAGGGGACTGCGCAGGGTCCATCTATAAGCTTGTCGGATGGACATGCGAACTCAATGATCCCAACTACCCCCAAAGCACTGAAGTCCTCGTCGTGATTGATGCTCGTACGTTGCAACACGAAGTGCGTCTGATAGGACCGCAAGCCCATTGCAGCTATGCGGACCTCAAGCGGCACTTCACCAGGTAGCTGAACACGAACCTCTGAAACAGGGCCTGCTTCGGCCTGGGATCCGGAAACTTTGGGGTGCTGTCCGTTTCTACAGGAGTTTGGCCGAGAAATGATGCACTTACATACTTCGAGCACAGACGTGCAAAGCTCTTAGGGGAGGTCTCAGAATGTGTTGGTTGGTACAACGTCAGTGGATGGAGGCGGTAAAGTTTGGCGACTACTGGGGAAACCTTGACGGACTTTTCGTTTACGCGCATGCAGTGTCGAACTCGCAGTTCACGGGTTCCTTGATGACGCCTCTCAGACGTGTGGCAGAGCTCGTCATCGTCGGTCTGTCTTTTGCTTACATGGGAATCGTATAGAGGCCGTACTGACAAGAATAGGGTTCTGGGGCATACGATGTACAGTTATGAGAAGGAGCCCTAGGGAATAATATTGGGAATTTTTGCGATCCCTATAGTAGCATTACTGCTTGAAAAATACAAGTACTAGTCGATCTCTCTCCCGCAGCCGACCGGATGTTGGCACCCTCCAAAGCCCTCGAAACCCTGAAGCCATGAATCTGGCACCTCAAAACACACAGCCAAACCCTAAAGCTCCATACCTTCAAGCCTCTACTCTGCGCTCGAAGCCTCAAAGCCCAGAGTTTAGGGTTTAGGGTTTAGGGTTAAGGTTTAGGGTTTAGGGTTTAGGGGCCTTAAGCTTCCTGTGCCCAGACTCTAAACTCGCACTCCCCCAGCCAGAATTCGAAAACTCAGCTGTCGGCTGGAGGAGGCGCCTGGCAGTTCAAGCATGTGGATCTGGGTTCGTAGCAAAGACTGTTGGGGCTTAGTTAGGGCCTATAGGGCTCGGGTGGTTCGACGGTTTGGAGATTGGGCTTGGATTTGTGACTTCGAAGACAAGAGGCTGGGCGTGGGGCGTATGTTAAACTTCATGCAAAGCAAGCAGTCTCACAAGCTGCTGTTTGCTTACATGCGGTTTAAGTCGTGCCTGCAAGAGCAGGCTTCACACTGAAAGCCCAACACACTCAACCTTAAACCTCAACCCCAAATCCCAGCGCCTGGGGCACGGGAGGTGGTGGGTTCTCCTCCGCGGGCTTCTCGGCTGGAGCAGCCTTGAACTCAGACGTTGCTGGTGCTGGGATTTCGTTGAGGCTGCTTTGACTTAATAAGCCTGCTTATTTCCACTAATCTGTCCTAAACCCCACAGCCAGTACTAACCAACCATCCATCTTACTGCCCCTAGTCACTAAGTCGCAAAGTCGCTCAAGGTTGGGATCCCCATTGCACGGGCTTCCGGAGCGTGCGCTATCGGAAAGGTGTAGTGCCGACCAGGAAGCGTGACCGATGGACTGACTTACTAACTGGCGGTCGCAGAGGCAGGAAGGAATGAATGCATGAATGAAGTGCAAAAGGGGTTTCGGGCATAGGGTCCTAATCCGGAAATTAAATCCGCACTGCACCGTTAGTTGGATGTCTGGTGGTCACACCACAAAGAGCCCCAGATTAGACCTTACAGCGCAGAAGTAGGCAATATTTGCACACTGGAACCGTATAGCTCTCCTTTCAGAAACAGCTGAAAAGTAGTGTCGAATTCCACACGGTTTGCGGCTGCAGGGCCTGATCCACCCCTCAACCCGAAACCTTGGGGGTTGTGGAGTTTGGATTTCGGGTTTAGGGTTTAAGGGTGACTCTGATCTCTTTCTTAGCTCGCGGCAGGCACTTGAGGAGGACCAGAGGCGGCTTCCTGTCAGGAACTGGGATTATAGAATCCTTATGGGCGGGGGGACCACAAAAGGTAGATAAGCTACTAATCCCGAGTTCTCTCTAGTGCTCCCTAAGGTTCCTTTACGGTTTCCTAAGGATCCCTTGTACCCTCCCCCCTTGAAAAACCCTCCCTTAACGACCCTATCATGGGATTATTGTGATGTAAAGGTCCTCGTAGCTAGAATTATTAACGAATTACACTTATACCAAGGACTTCAAGCGGGCAAAGATTGTTATGAATTCCTCACGCCCTTATGGTACCCTTGATAGTAACCCTTGGAGTAAGACGTAACCCACAGAAACCCTCTTGTCTACGCGAAGTCAGACGGAAGACCTTTCAAACTGGGGCTGTGAGCACTTGCAAGCTGCAGCTGCGACCTTGGAGCGTTGTGCACAGGCACTCACCACCATTACCGTCACAAGAGTTTTTCTAGAGAAGCCCTGCGCTGCAACTTGATGAGCAACCGGATAAGCATCTTCATTCATCGGGAAGCGGCGACGACTTTGGGTGACAGAAGAATGGGAAGAATGATGCCGCTGATCGAAGTACTCGAAGCAACACTTGCAGCAGGCATCATGGGGAGTAATAGCTCCAAAACCATGAAACCGATCATTAGCGCCGTGCTGAAAGACCCGCCAACGATAACATAGAAACCTGAGTAATGGGGCTAGGAGGTTTTGAAGGCTCTATAATGCTCTCAAAATATCAGGGAATCCGGAGGGATAACCGTAGAGTCCAAATGCTCAAGTTCCTTTTTAAACCACTAAATCAGAAGAACAGAAACAAAAAAACAGCATTAAAGAGGCAGCCCCCAAGCCTCGGGAGGTACCTCTGGAGGGCCAGCCTCAGCTACCTGTGGAGAACTAGGATGGGGCCCATAACGAATAGAACAAGGCTTTGGGGTATATAAATCCATAAATCCTAATTACGTGTGAGAACTAAGGATATATTATTTCGGCTTCGGCCTCCCATGGGTTAGGGCTTTGGCTCCAGGCTATTTCAGGCCGGCGTCCAGGGTGACTGACGTCAGCCGCAATGCCCGACACGTTCAACTCTCCACCCTATCCTCAATCCCAACGCACAATATCCTCAACCTCGCTTGGGGCGACATCTAGACTACGATTTTGGTGTACCTTCTCTCATGCATATCGGCCGTGTGAAGGAACACGATGATACTTACTGATGCTCATTCTTTGGGGTGGTTGTCGAATTTTGAATCGCTTATCTCGGAATCTACCCGAAGAGTCTGACAAGCGAAAGGGTTTTGGGGTTTTGGGGATTTTGGGGGGCAAGGTAGAGCCGTTCGTGCCCCGTTTTGTTGTGAAAATCAGACTTCTGACGGAGGCCGTTGTCCGATTTCTGACCCCTAAAGCCCCACTAAAGGTGCCGAAATAGGTACCAATAAGACTCTTTTGGTGGTTCCCTATTATAGTTATAGTATACAGTAAACCCCATACAGTTGAAAACCCGATTAAAGCCAAATAGTGCTGGGATTCCCAGAGGCTATTGGGTTTCCAACTTTTGGGCTTCTACTGTAATGGGTCCCAAAACCCTCTAACTTGGTTTATCCGTGTAGGAGAATAGTGACCATAGCCCTCCATTCACGTGATGGTCGGAATCGGAGGCTTGACTTGCTCAGCATTTCGAAAACATGAAACTACTGCGAACTCATGCATGAACCAATAACTCCAAACCCGTACCAGAACCGACCCCTAAACCAGAAAGCCCAAACCCCAACCATCAGCACTGAGTAGCAAAGGGATGGAGCGAGCCTCCGGGAAAGCTGCTGCTGCTAGGCATTGCCTCCGTCGATGAGGGGTTTGGCGTTTATTGTCCGTGGGCTTAAAGTAAAAGCCAGAAAGCTGGAATATGATTATCCTAAACCCTTTATGGTAAATTATAAAGTATAATACCCTGAAACCATATTCCAACTTTCTGGCTTTTACCTTAGGGCTTCGGGTCCCTGGCTTGGGGGTGTCGGCTTGAGGATGCTTGGGCTGGGGGTTTCGGGAACTTTTAAGATTTCGGCTTGAAAGGTTTGTTCATCAAGGGCCCTACATAGGCCGTATCAGGTTTAGGGTCAGGAGCTCCGAGGTGAACGGACTGGGCTTAAGCTTTATAAGCCTTAAACCCTACATACCTTTCTGGGTTTAGGGCTCAGAAAGCAGAGCCAGTGTCGCTTCAGGAAATGGGGTTTTTTTGGGGGGTAACGATCCATGTGATGTGGGGTGTGTGGGGGGCCTGAAAGATTAATGGGCACCTGAGTTGAGCCAGCTTTGACATCGGGCATGAGGGGGGAAGGAGGGCCCTAAAGCAGAGTTTCACAAGGCGAGCCTTTACACTAAAAACCCCGAGTATTCTAACCAAACCAGCGAATCCTAGAATCTGAGAATGACATTGACACTCGTGTGCAAGGAAAGCCAGAATGACCAACAACAACAACCAAAACCTTAACATTTAGCCATGTCAGCAAAAGAACCTCCTTTCACATGCCCTAAGTGGCCAAGTGCCGAACTAGCTGCCAGCACAAACCCCTGTACAGACTGGCGTTTGCTCTGGAAAACCCTTCTATTTCGAAAGTGAACCCTTCGGCATTGTCTTGCCTGAAATCTCAGACATTAAGGAGCTTGGAACTGCTGAGGTTTCAGTGGGCTAGGATTTAAGGGTTTACGGTTTCAGGGCCTTGACGTAAACCGATAAACCATCAATCAACCGCAAAGCCAAGTGGCAAGACAAAGTTCGTCTTGTCCGGGTTGGCGCCGCACACCACATCCACGGCAGAAACCTTATGGCTAAAGGTTGTTGCAACCAAAGAGGGGAGTTCTGCAATGAAACCTTGGGGCTTCTGTGATTTAAGGTCCGTATATCTCAGGGCCGTTTCCTGCTCCTGGCATGGATAGACTTGAAGGCACATTCTCAAGAAATACAGGTGGTATCTTCTCCAGCTCTCCAGCATGTATGAGATTGCAATTTGGTTCCGTCCCACCATCAACCATAGAAACTAGATGCTTATCTTGCAATAAGAGCTAGTTATGGATGCTTGGTACGTGAACTAGGCCCACATACGTACCCTGCAGTCTCACAAAATGGCTGATGGGGTGTACCAAAACCTCCAGAAAGCTGCCGTTAAGGGCCGCTGCAGGGGCTTCCACCGTAAACAACGCCAATTGATGTGGGTATATCGGGATCGGAGTGAAAAGTCCGTGACTATGCGCAGATCAAACACGACAAGCAAACCGCAAACCCCAAAACCCGACCCTAAACCTTACAGTAAACCTGTTGAAGCACCTAGAAAGGACCCTTAAAGGAACCCTGCATGGAACAAAATCCCTCGCTTGAGATTCTGGGGCGCCTGCTTGTGAAAGAGCTTCTGCCTGTTCCGGCAATGCTCCTGCCACCACTGCTATCCAACCTTGTAGCAGCAGGAAACTGGTTTAAGGGTTGGCGACTTTAGGGTTGCTAAAACGGTTCTTTGCAAGGCTGTATACATGAGACTACAGGGGTTCTGGGGGTTGCCGGTACATACAGATGTAAAGCCTCTGCAACTGTAGTATATGCCTATGCATGCATGCGTGCATGGATGCATGAATGGACGAATGGCTGGCTGGCTGGATGGACGGAGGGAGGCTGCTGGAAAAGGGAACAGGAAGCAACATGTTGTCGGGGAAGGGCAAGGGATTGGCTTACAATGAGATGTGCAATGCTGCATCCGGAAAAGAATCGCGGTTGGAGCACCGTCACCACAAACTGGTACTACCGTTACTGCTTTGACTACAAGTAATAACCACAAGCACTATGACTACCACCTACCACTGCTACTATGACCACGATTACCAATATTACTGTTACTAGTATTCAACTACAAAAGCAACCTCATCTCAAATGGACAGGGCTCATCTTTTGAAGACGGGTCGCTAGCAAGGTAATAGCATGGTGGGTTTGGGATTCCGGGTTTACACAGATTTACAACCTCGAGTCGTTGCACTGCTGGTAGCCTAGACACACATGTGGCTGATGCAGGCGAGTCGCGTTGGAGAAATTCTACCTGCCCACGCAAGCGCCAGTTGACGGATTTGATTTCTCGTGCGACCCCCTTCTCATCGCGACTAGCATGCTGGGCTACAAGAAATCAAACCAGCATGCACACACACCAAATCCAGAGCACAAGTCTCTTGGCACGACAGGGCAAGTCAGCTTAGCTCAGAGTTGTACTACGAGCAACTCGACACCTCAAGCACTGACAGCTGACAGTCAGACCACGCCGTTGCGCCAAAACCTAGCCTCAGAGCCACAATAAGACTCCAAGAAAGACCTTACACTTGGGCCTCCCTCAACCATACCATTCCCTTTTCTTTATACTTCCTTTCAAAATTTCAGACAATAGGTCAACTGATGCCTTGTCGTCCTTCTTCTGTGGGGGCTCCGGCTTTGGCCCCGGGTCGCCCCCAAAGAGCTCTGCAGCGCCAAAGCTCGTTTGCCGGGCGACCTGGGAAAGACGCTGGCCTTTTGCCGTAGGTTTGGGGGTTTAGGGCGGGGGTCGGGGGGTGTAATGCAAGATTTCGAGAGAATCGGTGCGGGTGGGGAACAACTTTAGGGGGTGAGGGGGAGGGGAGTGAGGAATAGGAACCCAAACCTTGAGCGATCTGGTTCGGGTTTCTCACCTCCTGCAGCTTCCACAGCAAGTCCTGCACCCCACACCGCATTCTGTTAGTTCGACGGGATCTACAGTCGAAAAGCCAACAATACGAACAATCATGAGAGCTAAACTTCACAAAACTTCGCAACAACAACCTTGGACTCTGGATTTCCAAAGACCCATTCGGCAGCCGACAAACCTCGAAGCCCGGAAGGAATGCAAGATAGGAAGAACAACCATCAGTCTGTGGTGGCAGCTTTCGGATGGGAGGCTCAGACGAACATCAGGCAGCCTTATGCAGCGCGATCCCTGTCACGAGGACTCGTGACGAGGATATACTGTACTTTACTAGGTTTCAAGCTTCCAAAAGCCACGAAATCTGAACCCCAAGCAGTCCCTTAACCCTAAACCCCAAACAACACTGAAACATAAGAGCCCTGACCTCTGCTGCGGCGTCGAACAAGAAGCGGAAGGGTGGCTTCCTCTTTTCGGACGTTTTGGTGGTTCATAGGGTCTTTTCACAGCAATGGTATAGTTTCATAGTTTCCCTGGGTTCAATATAGAGAGATCTTTGACATGAAAGGACTGAATGTTGAATTTGAGCATTGGGGCGGAGTTCTGTGTCTTTTCAATCTGGTTCTGGTGATGACGAGTCTTGTGACTGTGTCTACGCTTGGAGTAAACATGATTCGGGCGTGGAAAGGGAGACTGGAGGAAAAGCAGCCCTAAACCCCTAAACCCCAAACCCGTAACCCTAACCCCCTAAACCCTAACCCCCTAAACCCTCAACCCTACACCCTGAACCCTAAACTTTAAACCGAAACGAAGCCCTAAGAGGTTCGGAGCTGCTGGGACAGCCAACTCAGCCAAGGGGACTCGCACGATTCTCCTAGTCCGCGAAGGGTTTCCTATAAAAGCGACAGCAAAGTTTCGATTTGCCAAGGGATGCTGTAGGCAGTCAGTTCGATATGTTCCCTCGTCTTTCTACGTCACGCGTGACATAGCTCGATTTCTGCGCCAGCTTAGACTCTCACCTCAGCCTCTCCGGCAGCATGCGCGGCCGCGCTAACCGGGCGCCGAGAGTAGCCTGTGGCTAGGAATTGAAAAAATTTGGTTCTTGAGTTGAGTGCTTCAGGGCTTTAGGCTTCAGGGGTTCAGGGTATCCGAAGCCAAGTTCCTGGCCTGCTTGGTTGCTGCGCTCCTCCTAACACAATACGGAAAAAGGAGTCAAAACACAGAACAGTGCAGTGTATGTTCACAAACTCGGAACTTAGAAGACTGCAATGTATAGTCATCCACTCCGTCACGATAGCCTGGTGAAGCGCTCATTCCACTCAGTGGGGTGGGGTTCCCGAAGCCTTGCATGCTCGGGAAGCCTGAACCCCAATAAGTCGTTCGCTCCTCTTTAAAATTGGAACCAGAAGACATCTCCCTCAAACTAAGAGTGGTTTCGAAATAAAGGGTGGAATGCACGACTCAGTAGAGAAGCAGGACGAAGGATAGTGCCAGAATGATCATCATCGTGGAACCCTGCACGCTGTTCATTGTCGTTATCTCTTTGGGCGGTATAGTAGCAGTGATCTCGGACGTGATGGTCGCATTAGCACCGTCCAGAAATTTCCATCGCGATGTTTGATCATGACGCTAAGATTTGAACTTGTAGCCCAAGGCCTAAAACCGTAAACTCTAAATCCAGGTATGAGCAAAAACCTAACCTCCTAGTGAACCCATACGTAACAGGGGCTTCCAAACCCCTACAGCGAAGCCTCAATACTCACCACCGTCCATATGTCGGATCCATTCTAGACCCCACGCCCCTCAACTCCACCCCTCCCCCCTTAGGAAGCAATGGCTAACCCCACACCGCACATCCTGCACTCCCCCAAACGCTTGCACAGCACTTCTCAGCCCGACTAAGATTTCAACCTCCCAAAACACCAAAACACAAAGCACCTCCCAAAAACAATACAGTAATCCCGAAAACAAAGCAACCCACCACAACAAATCAAATTGTCCATAACACAACCCAAAACCAAAGCAACTACCAATCTATAACCTCATCCGTACAAATAACCAATATCCTAATACGAGGTTTGGGGTAAAACCCCAGTAGAAAATCCACAAAAGATTATAACCCTGCCTGCTGGAAACGACTACAACATGGGGCTTTACTAAAATTATATAGAAAATGGTGTTTATCTATCAGCAATGTCAATTATCATAATAGTTCCTCGGTGCTTCTGTTGTTTTCAAGTCAACTTGCTCCAACCGTTCTTTACCACAAACATACGGTGTTCTTTGCTGTTGCATTTAAAACCAATGATACTTTTGCAGCTTTTATGCCACGGGAGTTTAGGCGTATTTACATATGGTTCGTGTAACTAATCTCATCCGTCGTGCTTGTTCCATAAACTGTAGTATTGGTTGTTTGATTGGCACATCGTTATTCGTGTCTATTTGTTCAAACTGAAATATGTGATTTGCAACTGTTAATAACAGCCTGTCATAAACTGCTTCATGTTGTTTGTCCTTCTGGTTCTTCTTGCAATGCCCCACACGCAGTTAAGAACTCATTGATAGTTTCTTCTTGTTCAGCCACTGTGAATAACTCAGTCATTTCCCCACGAACTTGTTTGAGGTATTTTCGTTTTGAATGACTTGTGTACAACATGTTTTTTTAATGCAATGTCGAATAGGCTTTCTCTTGGTCGTCAAACTTGATCTCATAATATTCGAATGTCTCATTCTTAGGAAATTTCATGTCCTTGTTATTCCGTTTATGAACATATACGCTTCTCTTAGTCTTGTAAGCATCACTATCTTTATCCATTGGTGCTTTGGATGGTTTAGGTTTGTTCACTAGTTCATCAAGTTTTTTCTCAATGAGTTCTAACTTCTCTAAAATCTGTTGACTGCTAATGCGAATGATGGTTTTACAACATCAACTACATCGCTCATATATTATATTTAAAAGCTTTAGATTAAAACTTTGGTTTTATAACATTATACAAAAAGCATTCACAAACTAATTCAGCATTATCTTATGCAATACGAATAAATGTCTCTCATTACTTCCCTTTCACGAAATGAGACACTGGGGGACTTGATTGTAAGGGTTTTTCTTCTCCTTTGTCGGCAGCCTGCGAGCCTCGCGGCTACGACAGTAGTCTCGCGAGGCTTCGCGACAAGGTTATGGGGTGAGGAGGTTGTTGTGGTTTTGAGTTGTGTTCTGGATAATTGTATTCGTTGTGGTGGGTTGCTTCGTTTCGGGGTTATTGTATTGTTTTTGGGAGGTGCTTTGTGGTTTAGTGTTTGGAAGTGTTGAAATCTTAGGCGGGTTGAGAAATGATGTGAAAGCGTAGGGGGGAGTATAGGATGTGAGGTGTGGGGTTAGCCTGTGCTTGCTCCTTTATGATCTCAAAACCCTAAACCCTAAATCCTAAACCCTAAACCCTAAATCCTAAACCCTAAACCCTAAACCCTAAATCCTAAACCCTAAACCCTAAATCCTAAATCCCTAAACCCTAAACGTGCCTGGGTCTGCAATATCCAGGGCTCCGGGGCCTGCTGCAGACGTGGGACCTACTGTTGATGATATAAATCTAAGGCCAAACCCCTTATCATAGACCCCTTTAAGGATCCCTTTTAAAAGAAGCCTCTGTAATTATGTTTAGGCCCCTAACGGTTGATGATATAAATCCTGCATTACCTTAAGCACCCTAAACTATGGGAATCATGGTATATTCCTGATTATGGGTAATGCAGGATTTCTGTCATCAACCGTAGGGCGTTAATATTTTTGCTCCTGGATCAGTACACTATGATGCCAAGACCTTCGGGGACTCTGGAATGCAAGGCCCTGGCCATTCTCATACCGTCCCACGGATGCTCGTAACTATGCAAGACCCTCCCTGCCTTTCCAAGACTCTGCTATTCCTGTAGATGCCACATATATCTCACTTCCTGCGTGGTGCAGATTTAGGGCTAGGCCCACTTCCTGAGGATAACTGACATGACTACAGCGCTGAGGACGCCTCCGCCGTCCCGGTTGCTTCCGCCATTCCGAGCCACCCCACTCTGGGGGCTTCCGAAAGGTCGGGCTCAGGGCTTCAGTTTTCGAAGTTTGAGGGTTGGTTCAGTTGGGTGGTGGGGCAAAAGCTCTGTAAGGTGCTAAGTAAGGGTTTCATGTCGTGGCGCTGTTGGAGCGGTGTATCCACAATGATTGCCCCCTTCAGGGAGTGCGCAAAGACTTCAACTTCATCTTTGCTCCCGTCATGAATAGGACTGTCATATAGCTTGAGAGGCCACAGCAAAATCCAACTCTTCTCTGATTCCAGACCAATCTGCACTGCAAAGTTCCCAAAACACAGTCATGCCCTCAACCCAGATGTTGGACTGTTCGGCCAAGACATTACCAACACTGTGTTCGGTGGAATGGAAACTGTGACCTAGGCATACTTTATTGTACATGATTGTACTGTATTATACTACAGCATACGATCCATACCAGATGATGCCATATCACACTAGCATGTCAGCAGTCTTCGCACTTTTTTGTCGCCGCATGTTTGCAGGGAGAGATGGTCGAAGAAAGGCCCAATCGTCTAGGCAGGGAAGTCGTCGTCTCCGAAGACCTTTCGGTGCTTGAAGAATACAGGTCTCTACTGGAATTTGGGGCCATATAACTATGATGACTACCGAATATATAGGATTTGGGAGTACTATGTAGTGTTCGCAGAGGACATTCTTGCTACTTGTTTCGGGACTTGTGTCACACTGTAGGATTTGGATGTGCGGGCTCAGGGTCCCTGATTCTTCGTTGAAGCTTAAACCGGAATTTTGCAGGGACACAACATCCACTGAACATGTCTGCCACCCTAAACCCTAAACCGCTATGCGACTGCACGACCGCCTAACTCTGAGGTCTTGAGAGGGAGCAGTTCCTCAGTGCTTGGAGCCTGGAAGTTGGTAATTCCCTTCCGATCAAGACACCTCTGTGCCTTACACTCCCACGCTGAACTGAACTTCGTCCTAGAAACAAATCCAAAAATTCCTAAAACTAAGCCCTAAACCCTGCACCCCAAACTCAGCATGCTGAACCCGATTGTGGCCTACGACTCCGTCCGTGGGCCGGACGCACTCATCATCATCGTCGTCGTCGGCATCCGGGAACAGGCCCTGGTTCTGTAGGCTGTAAGAGGGGTAGGATCATAGTGGGTTCCGAATCTCAAGCCCTCAAAACCCGGAACCGTAAGCTGGAGAAGGCTGGACGCAAAGCGTGAGCGATGCGCGACACCACATGTCTAGGCTTCTGGTTTCCACTGCTTCGGTGTTTCATGCCTCAGGATTCTTCAGCCCAAGGAGGGTAGCATTCTGAGATAGGTAAAGGAATCGAGGGGAGATGCAGGTTTGACAGTGTAATATATATATATATATATATATATATATATGTATGCATGCATGTATGTATGTATAAGACGAACGGCCAAAGTCCTAAACCCCAAATTGCCAAACCCTAAACTCCAAAGCTCAAAATTGTGCAGACGTTAATAATTCAAGCAGGGTTTTGGGGCATGTACTGTATGATGATATATGGGGATTCTCCGTACTAATCATTCAGGCCCCTATATAAACTAAAGAATCCGGACAAATCAATAAAGAAATCCTAATCCCTAATCCCTAAACCCTAAAAACCCTAAAAACCCTAAACACCCTAAAGACCCTTAAAAACCCTAAAAACCCTAAACCCCACGACTAGGCCCTGAGAGGGAACCTTCTTCCTGAGGAAGTTGTTCGCTTCCAGGATCATGGGCTCCCGAATCTGCAAGGAGGCCGGATCCGCATGTTTAGGGTTTAGGGCTGACTACAGGGGACTCCATAACTTCAAGACGGTTCTGGGGTATTGTACGCTGTAAATATAGCAAACAACCCTATGCAACAAATATTGGTAATTAATGATGAAAGCTTCCGCATTACAGGCGAGAGAAACTGCCAAGAGGATTTTGCATCTCGGAGTTAAGGAGTTTAGGGTCTTGAATTGTGTTTGCCGTGAGGTCGTTTCGGCTTGCGCTTTGCGAGCTTTCGGTGAAAGTTGCTGAAACGAGACATGCTGCCGTACCGCGGTGACAACCCTAATCAGTAACATAGTCATCACTGCGCGTGGGCAATCACATTCCTAAGACACTGGAAATACAGCGCATCAGGCCCGGTGACGTGTGAGCTGCACAGCAACCAGGCACAAGAGAGCATCGATCAGTCGCCAAAGCCCTGAACTCTTGCCAGCGCATACCAGCCCTCAGCCCTTGAGCCTGATATAAAATGCTGGATCCCACCCCCAAAACCAGCGTCCTGAACAAGTAACTTGAGGCAAAACAGCCCCGCTTCAAACTCACGAACACCTCCGGACGTGTGACAACAGTTCGCCTTCAACGGGAAGACGCCCTTGTCAGCATTCGTGTTAACCCTGAGCTGCCGATTGATTCAGGACATCTCTAGGCCTTTCGACTGAAGTTTCAGGTGTAACGGTGCTTGTCAGGAAGGGTATGACTGATCTCTTGTTTCCGTGTATGTAAAATCGGCGGCTGCACCAGCAACCCTCTGATGGACAATGTTCTGCAGGGCAGCTCTACATCTTGACTTGCACAACCTACATCGTACACCGTACTACCTCGAAATCTGCATCCCGCTACCCTAACCCCTACCCCGATATTTCTCGCGGCCGATTACAAAGCCCGCGTCCGCGAGGTGTCGAGACCACTTCACGACATGCCACTAACCTTCAACTAATCGGTTTTCGATTACGTCCTCGTTGCTCTGTACCTTTTGAAGGCCGGGAAAGCTTCAGAAGTGGAGGTTTGAACAGGGGAGGCGATATGTATACAATCAATTGCAGAGATTGTAGCCAATGTTTTAACTTCTCCCGGTCTTCCAGATGCCCATTTGAAGCCCGCGCAGCATTTCTACATCTTCTGCCGAGAAGGCGATGGACCGAAATTGTGAAACCTTAAGGGCTTGGGTTTCAGGCCTTGCTTAGAGCTTCGGGCCGTGCCAGCCAGGGCACTTTCCGGTGCAGATGGTGTCACTTGTGGTCACAACCTCCGGGAAGCAAAACTCAGAAGGTGACCCCGATCACAAACCCCTAAACCCCAAACTCTACATAAATGGTCTGTGCGGGCTGTTTGGGGTGTAGGAGAAGCAGCCCCTCCCCGATATAGCTATGATGCTCTTAATACGGCGGCCTTACTTATTCGATGGTATAGTAGGGTATGATCTTCAACAAACTGCCCACCAAGAGTGTCACACTCAACCCTCGGACTCAGCATGCAACGTCAACGCCAGCGGTCTTGCGCAAGCAATCCGAAGCCCTTAATCGCCACCTTCAAGCTGAACCCCAAACGAAGTCGAAACCCTCCTTGCAAACTGCCTCGCCCCCTTGGGTTTTCAGGACGGTCTCCAGCCACTCTTTGCAGTTGAGCTCCGCCTGAGACCCAGGTTTACAGTCTGAGATTTATGGTTGCGAGCTCAAAGTTTGAAGTCTCGCGAACCCCTAACTTAACCCCAAAACCCTAACCTTAAACTTCTTAAACTTAGACCAAACTCCAAACCTGAAGACCCCGAAAGCTCAAACCTTCACCACTAACATTAAGGGGAGTCGGCACTTCCAATTTCTGGTCTCAGGTTTGCGGAGGTTCGGGCCACTAGGGGTGACCAGTCTAAGTTTGTCGCGGTTTAAGATTTTGGGCTTAGGGTTTGCTACACCCAAAACAGCTTCATGTACAGCACAGCCCGCAACAGCTCCTGTGGAGACGCGAGCTGCACGGAAGTGGAAAGCATGGTGCCATGTTCAGAAATGTCGAAGCCTGTCTGGAAGCCAGACCAAAACCGTAAGCCCCAACAGCCATTTAAGCAAGCTACAAGAAACGAACCTGCAGAATGCGATTAATACATTAATCTAGAACCTTGCGCAATCACAAAGGTCCGCAAACCCAACACCCTAAGACCCAACAACCCCTGAAACTTCAAACGCTAACGGCTAAACGGTATGCGCACCCTACATAATCAAATAGAACATACTGAAGCATAGGTCTTGTGTTCCTAAGTCCGGTCCTTCTTCGCTTCCGGGACATAGGCACAAACAGCCAGCTGCTCCACTCCAACGGAGAAGATCATCTTACCTGGCTCTGCCACGCTTCGACAACCACAGACTTCCAAGGGTTTGGGGCTCAGGGTGCTGGAGGTCTTTGACAGTTTAGGTTTTAGGGTTTAGGGTTTAGGGTTTAGGGTTTAGGGTTTAGGTTTTAGGGTTCAGGGTTTAGGGTTTAGGGTTTAGGTTTTAGGGTTTAGGGTTTAGGGTTTAGGGTTTAGGGTTTAGGTTTTAGGGTTTAGGGTTTAGGGACTGACAGGAATCGATGACGTACGATTTAGTGCAGGGTCTACGACGTGCGCATCCCAAGCCACCGAACTTAGGAATGTCAAGTCTACCAGTTCAATCTGGAGAGAGTAAGAAGATTACCAATACCTCTTGAACTAATGAACTCCTGATTCTAGATTTATTGCTATCCCTCCAAGGACCTCATAGTTAGGGCCCTAGACCCCTTAAGGACCCCATAATAAGGTCCCTGGAGGCATAGGGTATTGCGTGGAGTTGAGTCCGAAAGTTCCGGAACGAGTCGAGTCCATAAGGCTTCCGCAAACTCAGGCGTTGGTGCAAACTGGGGTCCCTTCTTGCCTGTCACCATCGACAAATGTCGCGCGAATATATATATATATATATATATATATAGACTAGCTACTTACTGTATCCGCTGGATTAAAACAACTATTTTGCTTATACGACGATACACCCCAACAAAAACATTCTGATTGCTAAGGCCACCATATTACCTCGAAGTGAGCCCTTCATGCTCAAGATCGCAAGCCCAGGTTCCATCAAAAGGTACCAGTACAGGAGAGTAGGGTTTTGGGGTTTACGGTTTTGGGGGTTCCTCATGATACTGAGAGTATCAAAGACCACCAAACACTACTCTAATTATTAAGGTGCCTACACTGCTCTGTAACTCGGTGGAGGACATGCTCTGGAGTCAATCGGGTCCAAAGACTCTAAAGTAGTCGACACACGATTTCCAAGATGGTGGCCAAACCCCGAACTCCAAACTCAAAGCCCTGTGAGCAGCCTTAACTTGACAACTTCAGCTTGCAGCCCTCCTTGTGACCAAAACCCATGCTGGCCGCGCCAATGTGACCTGATCCGCCCTTTCGCTCCTGCTTCTGCAGGCGAGCTTATGCCATTTGCTTTCGGGCGTAGCGATGTTCTGCTTTGGGGCCTGAATGAGGCTTCAGGAGATGTTATACTACGACAGAAAATAAGGGAATACTCGTAACTATCATTCACGCTCCAATGATGATAAAGAGTGACGAAGGTTCAGTGAAGAACCGCTTACCAGAGGTAGCACGACCATGCCCCCCGAAACCCACATACTGGCCTCAAGCCTGCTGAACCCGGTATCCTAAACCCTGCAAGTCTGTATTGTAATCCACATGGGCCCTCTCAAACCCCCTAGGCCCTGGAGCCCATGTGAACCCAGAAGCCCCCAAAGTCTGAAGCCGAAATCCGAAAAACCCCCAAGCCCTACATCTCTGAGGTTTTGGGACCCCAAACCCCTACATACACTAATCCTTCCAAACCCCCAAAGCCCTAAACCCTAAAACCCTAAAACCCCTAAACCCCTAAAACCCTAAACCCCTAAACCTTAAACCCTAAACCAAGCCCTGGACCTCCCAAAAAAGATGCAATCGACTGTGGGTCTCCTCCTCACCAGGATCGCTCTTGGCGTTCATGGCTTCCATCGAAGTCATCAGGAGGTCCTCTGGGCAGACAAAGCTAAAAAACACCGAGTAGCACCCCAGGGTTATAAGGGCTCAGGGTTTTTTGGCGGTTTCCCAGAACCTACAAAACCCTACCTTTTTGTGGGCTCTTATTATAAACCAGAATATGGGATTTATAGGGACCCTACAAAAAAAGTAGGGTTTGGTAGGTTAAAGTAAGGTCTAGAACAATGAAGGTCCTGTTCTAGTTATCCTCGGGTCTATCTGTTGCATCTTTGACGTGAGTAACCCCGGTATTCCCCTACACCCTCAACCTCAAAACAACCACCGAAGCCCGGCAACCGGAATCCCGAGAGCACCTAAATCCCAAAACCCTAAACCCTAAATCCCGAGCACCTAAATCCCAAAAACCTAAACCCTAAATGTCGAGAATCTAAACCCAAAGCCCTATACCCCATGTGCACCCTTGCCTGCCTCCTGCGAGTGTGAGCGTCGAAATCCCCAAACTCTCAATCCCGACGGAGAAGCCCCGGGTCGAGATCCAGATCGCCAAAGCTTCAACCCCCAAAACCCTGAAGCTCCGGCGTATCTACTGACTAGGGTTTAGGGTCCGTTTTAAGGATACTACAGAGCTCTATAAGGGGCTGCCGTTTAAGGTTAGGGTGTACTTGGAGGTTCATGGGCTTGCTAGGGCCCCTATATATAATTTATTATGGTTTAGGGTTGAGGGGGTTAAGGTTTATTAATAGCCACCCAAATAAAATCCCCATACAAGTAGAACCCTTCAGAAACCCTCTAGTGTAGTTCTGACAGATTCAGCTCCCTGAGGTGCCGGCGAGGTCTCCATCGGGCAGATCTACAGCGGTGCAGAAGAACTGCAGCCCACCTCGAAGTGCCGCGAATGATCTGCCCAGAGAGACGAATACCCCTTAATTGAGGAATATAGCTCAAATCATAATGTGAAGCCCTATAGAATTTAAGCCATACTCCTTAATTAAGGGGTATTGGGCTGTCTGGGTGCTCTTCTGCTGAATCAGTTGAGCTCTTCACAAGCCATGCGCTACCCCACCCTAAACTCTTCAATTCATGAGGCGGCCGAACTCCAACAGCACGGAGCATCAACAGCAATATCATTTTGTACACTCAAGGTCTGGGGTTGCAGGTCTTGGGATTGGGCTTTTGGTTTCGTGGTTTCGTACTGGGCTGAAGCAGCCGTTCCGCGCACGGGGCCTTACCGGTTTGCCAAACGACGTAGGTTTTGGGGCTTTAGGGTTGCTTGGCACAGTGCCGGGCATTTTATTGGGCCTCCACATCATCGCTGGCCCTCCGCAATCGAAAAAAGCCCATTTTGACCAGCCATTGAAGAAATCGAACTCAGGAGCTAGTAGCAAGGATGTTAATCATGGATGTAATGCTGCCAACACTTGTCTTAGTGCTGAACAAGAGACAAGTAAACTATGATAGCAAGAATCGAAAAGCCCATAGTGGACCCATGCATTAGGCTGTAAACAACACACGAACTCCTACAAGCCCAAACCTAGAAGCCCTAAGCCTTACGGCCTTTCGGAACCATTCACCAAGGACTGCGCCCATGTCCGCTGCACCCTCAATCTCAACTCCTGGTGGTGGGGGCTGCAGGGATGGACGCACGAAGGATCCACTCAAAAGAAGCAGGGTCATTCCACACAATAGCCGCCGAGTCAAACGGAAATTGATCGAAAGGGAACCCCGGAAATCAATGGAGCTGGGAAACCCAACGAACTCAGCAATCTGCCTGCAACGACTTACACCATGTTTCAATGCAGAGCCACCCTTTCGGGCCAATCAGGATCCCAACCCTCCCAACCCTACAGCCTCAAGCATCGATTGATTGTATGGAGCCACAGACGAGTTGGTATAGGATTGAGGGTTGCAAGCGATCCGGGGTTTAGGGTTCATGGCTGTTGCTAATGCCTTTCTGCTTGTCTTGCTCTCGTCTTCGCATCAAATCCATGCACCTTCGCATCCATGCTGCGATCTGCTTGCGGCTCGCCTTTGCTACCTTGACGGGTCTCGTTGTTATCGTTGACGCTGTTGCTTGTGTTGTAAGCACACGCTGGAATTGCAGGCAGGGGAGTTGAACCCCGGCCGTCCTCGCTTTCCACCTTCCTTGATGACCTGGGCAGGGCGAGATTTGAATCTACAGTGGTGCATATGTTCTCGAAAGTAAGCCTCACGGCGAAAAAGTAAAAGAAACTAACAAAAACAGTGATCATACATTAATAGATCTGCATGAGCCCTACACCTTTGTCATGCACCTAGCGTCCGCATCTGCCGCTTCATGCGGCTTGAGGCGAGTTCTTTGGGCTTCAGGGTTCCGCCGCATGACTTTGGATTCGCCATTTCTGGCCGAGATCCCGGAATCATGTGGTGAACTTAGAGCGGCCTTAGTGATTAGAATAGGGTTTGGGGGACATTATTATTAGCTGCTACATTGGACTGCTATTCGTACTGGTGCAGTCCTGCAGCCCAACTAAACATCTGGCATGTGTAAACCAGATTAAACTCAACTACACGACTGACGCGACGCTGAGCACAAACTGATACAAAACACTAAACCCTACACCCTAAACCCCAGGGCCCCTACACCCTCAACCCTGAACCCTCCGGCCTTCTTGAGCTTGTCCTTGCGAAGCTTTTCTTTCTCTTCGGGCGTGAGCTCCTTCTCCTTCTCCTCTGGCTTCTCAGCCTTCTCTTCCTCGCGGGTTTGCTGGTGATCTCGACAGACATGTCAATTTAACGTAAAGGAAGTGCTACTCCTAGTGCCCTAGTGCTTGTACGCATGGTTGTAGCAGCAATATTTGCAGTAAGCAGCTTGAAATCATCACCGGCAGTCGTGGCCGTCACCAGCAATGTAGAAGGAACAGGCCTAGATATCTTCAAGCACAGCATTCTCAGACATGTTGAAGGGTCAGACTGATTAGAACAGTCCCCTCGGCATACTTCGTCTTGCTGAACCCCCATGATTCTGGCAGACACTCCGCTGTCGTAACAGAGGGCCCTTAAAATTTGGAAAAGGCCTTGGGGCTATAATTGCAGAAGCTGATATCAATACAAGGAACCCAAAAGACATTTATTGGGTACCTATATTTCAAGCTTCTATGTGAGATTGACAGACGAAAAGCAAGGCATGAACAGCGGAGCCTTCGCCTTTTCCTTCTTTCCCGCCTTTTCCTGATAACAGCTTTGAGTCAGGGATTAAGCGGTATACTCATCTTATTCCAGCAATTTCTGGCTGTTGAGGGCTGGAGTCAGGGGTTTAGAGGTTTGGGATCAGGAAGGCTTGAGTGACAGTGTGAGTCCTGGGGGAATATGTGCGGGACTGCTCCTCAACCGCAGACAGTTGTCATTCGTGACCCCTTCAGGCGGCATCTGTCGTGACCACAGCGGCTGCACCGGCAAAAACCTGATGCCAAGAATAGGTACACCACAATCCCAAACCCAAGACCTAAGTCCAAAGCCCTGAACCCTAAACCACTCAGATGTTGAAGTGCTAGAAGACAGCAGGCACCCGACAGCATGCACGGTGGTAGCGTGATGCTAGCAGCTCTTGTTGCGACAGTGGATAGAATCCTGACATCATCTTGCTAGAGCTGCTAGAAGCAAACACACGGGTCGGGACAAGCGGATCAAGCGAGCAGTGGTGGTGGTGGAGGTGGCGGTGGTGGTGGTGCTGGTGGTGTTGTTGGTGGTGCTGTTGGTGCTGGTGGTGGTTGTGGTGGTTGTGGTGGTTGTGGTGGTTGTGGTGCTGGTGCTGGTGGTGCTGGTGGTAGTGGCGGCGCCGGCGGCGGCGGCGGTGGTTGATGGTGGTGATTATATTTGTTGCAGTTGCCGCTGCTCGTTTACATTGCTTCCTATCGCTGGGGATGCTAGGATGCTAGACGTTCTTGTCACTTCGCTCTTGTGTTCTTAAGATAGTGATGATAGCGAGAATTCTGAGGAACGTAGTGCTGTCGATGATGATGGTGATGCAAGTGGCGATGAGGGTTGTACTGGGCATGACGATGACGATGATAGTAGTCTTGATGCCTAAGAACAGAATCACTTCATCTCTCTCTTACGGTAATGAAACGATAATCACCACGAGGAAGTTGAGCCCTTGCTGCTGCGACTGCTCCCCCTGGCCCAATCTTGATGTAATCGTCGGTGTGCGCATAAGGGCAGCTGGGAATAATAGCATGATGTCAGCGTGCCCACCTTCGTTTCTGAGGTTCCTATGTCCGTACTTATAGCGACTACAGTACCTTTGCCCCTATGCTGACAGTGTTGAACTCCCACAGTTCTCTCAACTGTTGGCCTTGGGTGCCGCCTTCTCCTGCAACAGTGGACAATCCGAAGAGCCCGCGAAAATCTTGTCGATTTTAGTGCAACTGTCCGTAGATGTCCTCAGACGAGAAAGTCCGCCAATGTCGAGAACTGCCCCGAGGAACCCACGAAAAGAACATTGGACAACTTCGGCTGGCTGAAGGTTGACGGTCTGAAGTTCCACAAGAGTTGATGGGCTGGAATGTTATGAGGGCCAGAAACCTGGAGCCTCGACGAACCCCGATGAACCGACCAATTTGTCTGGCATTCTAGGCATATGGAAGGGTGTGGTGGGGTAGCGGCGAATCTTGGATTCTGAAATGAGGGCTGCAGAGCTTCATGGTTTAGGGTTTTAGCGTTGCAGAGTTTCATGTTTTCGGGCTGTAGGGTTTGAGAGTGATGTCGGGTCTTACTACTAGCATCTTGAAAATGAAAGGAGAAGATCTAACAGTAAGAAGGATTCGGGTGGTGCGCCGCGTCTTGCGTGTGGTGTCGAAGTGACCTTGCCATCGCCGACCAGAAACTACGAATGCCCCAACCACGCGCCACATCATCTGAATAAGAGCTGCACCACCCCCGCCAACTTGCCGACGCCCTCTTGAAACCTTATAGAGTATATGCTTATATGCTGCATACTTAAAATTTAAAACATTCCCGAACCACCCTACATCTTCCCTTCCACCCCAAAGCCTTAGTCCGCAAGACCCGACGCTCAAAACCAAAAGCCTAAAGCCTGAACTGCACACCCCAAAACTCCAAAGCTACCAGAGCCCGAAAACCTAAAATAAGCTCTCCATCATCGTATGTACACAAAGTATGCTATATCATATACATCGCATCTATTTATATATATATATATATATATACATACACGCATCTTTGCTTGCATGTATCATATTTTGCACGTGGTACGGAACTTTAAATACACACATATATATATATATATATAGCCGGAGATGAAGTTGGTTCAGGAAGCAAGACGGCGGTTGGGAATGGCTAAGAGTGCCTTTGACTCCGGCAAATCCCTGATCTACACGAACGAGTCGATACCCCTGCTCCTTCGTACCAACCTCTTCCACATGGCGGTCACCTCCACGGGCTTTAATCTGGGTCTCTGGGTCCCAGCTGGTCGCGCATGGGACCTCCTTGAAGGTGGATTCACGAAGATCCTCAAGGGCCTCCTCTCCAAGCGCTTCAAGGGTGAGACCTACTACAAACTCCCCGCGCCGGCCATCCACATCCTGACGGAGACCCCGCCCCTGGCCTCGTTTGCCAGGAAAGCGCGGCTGTCCCTGCTGACCGCCATGTGCTGGACAGCACCTGACCTCCTGTGGGCGGCTCTACAAATGGATGATGATTGGAATGCCACGATACGAGCGGATCTGGAGTGGCTACGGTCTGGGAGTGACCAATGGCCGGACCTCCAGCAGGCCAGCTGGCCGAGATGGCACCACCTGCTCAAGGAGTCGGCGGGCTGGGTCAAGCGAAAGGTCGCGACAAAGATCACCAAGGAGTTTGGCCACTTTGGTCGGGAACAACTGACCCTCCTCGCGCTCTGGAGCCTCTACAAGCGAGCCTGTGAGCGATGGCCAGTGCTGTCGGAGGATGTGGCACCGTGGGTGTGCCGTATATGCTGCAGAGCTGTCAAAACCAAGGCGGCCCTTGGTGCCCACTTCTTCAAGACACATGGCAGGCTTGCCGCCTACAGGCGGGTCACAGGAGGCACAGTATGCAGAGCTTGCGGACGGAACTACTGGTCTAGGACAAGGCTGGCGATCCACTTGAGAGACTCCCCAAGCTGTACGTCGGTCCTACACACCCTTGAGGCCACGAGCGACCCGTTCACTTGTGGGCTAGGCAGCAAGGGATGGAGAATGGCAGCTGAGAGAGACTTTACCCTGGCGATTCCGGAACAGCAAGTTGCGGCCCTGGACCACAACTGCGAACGGAGATGGCCAGAGGAGGTGAAGCGGGCCTACTGTGCGGCATGCGACTGCCTCACAGAGCGACGTGTGGACGAATCGGTGCCGGTCTTTAAGCGGACCCTCCTTGAGGTCCTGGCGGATTTCCCCCTCTACTACGTCGAGGTTCGGGAGATTCTGGATGAGATCGAGGCTGATGTCCGGTTGGTCGTTGACAGTGGCAGCAACGACTACTGGACGCCCGAGGGTGCTGCCCAGCTACTTGAGGCCGTCAGAACCTTCTCGGCAGAGGACTGGACCAGCGGAGTCGAACTCGGTGACACTCCGCCCAAGTTTGCGACCTTGAAGGCCTTCACGACTATGGTTCGAGACCTGAACTGGGCTAGCCTACTAGGGTGTTCCGGAACGCACGTGACCCTTAGAGACGCCTCTGTATTGCTAGACGACGACTGGGAAGCTGCATGGGATCGTCCTAGCGAGGTTGTCGGAAATGCAGCCGTGCGATGTGATTTCTGGGGAGTGTTACCTGGAGCGTTGCAGAAGGCATGGGACTTAATCCTAGATGGACACAAGCCCACAGTACAGGTGCCAGCAAGTTTCCAGGAACACCCCTTGTCAAGACCCTACACTATGTGTGGGGCAAGGTTGCATTCTAATTAGGCTGCGAACTTACCTCTGAGAGCCTGCAAAGCAAATATATATATATATATATATATATATATATATATTTATTTATCTATAATCTATCTATGTATCTATCTATGTCTATATAGATATATAAACATATATATATATATGTTTATATATCTATATAGACATAGATAGATACATAGATAGATTATAGATAAATAAATATATATATATATATATATATATATATATATCATGGCCCCCGGGCCCCAAGATCGCAACCCACTCAGCAGGGCCTTGGGAGCGGCTTTCTCCTGCAGCAGCGACGCCAGCACCAGCGACGCCAAGACTAGGACCCTAAACCCGAAACCCCTACACCCCTAAGTTGTAGTATCCTTAAGGGAGGGGGGTCCAAGGGGGGCATACTAGTGCTCCCTAAGGTTCCCTTACAGTCCCCTAAGGATTCCATATACCCTCCCCCCTTGAACCACCCTCCCTTAAGGATCCTATAACTAAGGTAAACGCCAGAAAGTTGGAATATCATTATCGTAACCCAATTAAGGTAAATTATAGGGCATCCTACCCTGAAACCATATTCCAACTTTCTGGAGTTCCCTTTAAGCTCGAAACCCCTACACCCCTAAACCCCTACCCAGGGGCTCCATAGTAGTTCCTTTTTGGGATTACCTTATAGGATTCTAAATGCGAAGCCCAAAAAGGAACTACTATGGAGCCTCTAGGTAAACCCCTAAACCCCTAAACCCTAAACTCCGAAACCCCTAAATCCTTAAACCCCTTAAACCCCTAAACTTTTGAACCCCCAAACCTGAAGAAGATGAAGAGAGAGACCCACGGACTATGATCATAATGATAACAGTTGTAATAACAATGCACGACGACTACAACTACGACGACGACTGCTACAAATACGAACCATAATCATGTCGACGGCACTTGGTATGTTCAAACACCAACAGCGGCTACAACAACAACGACGACGACGACACCAACGACATCAACGGCAATAGTGGCAACAAACATGCGAAACATCTAACCCACTCAATAAAACAAAACATACAACTATGCATTTTGAAAGCTTCGCGTATCTTAAGGCCAGGGTTGGGGTTTTGGGTGCCAGGATTCAGGGAACAATTTCTGATCCCCTAAACCCTAACCCTAAACCCTAAAACCATGGTCAGATTTGTTAATTCGGTGGTTGTCAAAATTAGGGTCCCCTTTTTGGGTCCTTATTGTAGTACGGCACCTGATTCTTAGGGTACCCAAAAAGGGGTCATAATTTTGACAACCATCCAATTAGATCAGGGATCGGAGCTCGAAGTCGAGGCCCCAGGCTGCAGCCAGCAAGTTGTGATACTCGAGGCTTGTAGAAGGGTTGCTTCTAGCTTGTTCATATTATACCCAGAGACCCCATAGTAGTTCCTTTTTGGGGATTACCTCAGAAGATTCTAAATATGAACCCCAAAAGGAACTACTTTGGGGCCTTAGCGTAGCACAATGTCTTACACGAAGGTTGTTGGTTTTCAAGGGTCGTCGTGCTTTGCGCCGTCTCTTAGGGTCACCCATGCCTCGCAGGTCGCGTCGGGAGTTGCAGGGTTTGGGCGAGCATCTGATATTGTGGCCCTACTTGGAGGTTCAGGGGTAGTTATAAGTGGGGTTACAAGTCCCCTAATTCGGGTTATAATTGTAGTTACCCTAGTTATAACCCTACTAATAACTACCCATGAACCTCCAAGTACTGCATTACGCGGTTTTGGGTTTACGGTTCTGTGTGGCTTTGTTCCGTTGCTTTGACTCCACAGAGAAATTCTGCCTAGAATGTTTTCGGTCGATTTGGCAGCTGGCACCGCCCCGTGCAACGGAAGGAAATCCCAACTCCAGTCCTTGGCAGCAGGCTTCTCTGCCTTTTCTGCCTTCTGTGCCTTCTCCTGCCAACATGACATGCGAGCATTTCGAATCAGCTGGGTTCTTGGGTTTATTTATGGTTTAGTCTCGTTTCTGTTTGTTGATGCAGCGAGCCGCAGAGCCCAATACCTGCCGAGACTTGCTCATCCGGTGCCAAAACCCCAGAGTCAAACCCAGCTCATACTGCGGAATGCTTTGTTTGCCAACAGACGCTGCAGAAGACAGCTAATCTCCCTCAAGGGCGGAGAGACCAGGACAATTTGAGCTTCGGGTCTGGGTATAACCATGTTTCTCCCTGGCAAAATATTTCACCCCAAACGCCTTATCTGAGTCATCAAAGCCAATGCGCAAACATTCCGGAAGTTACAGGAAGTCCACAGAAGCTGTGTTACCCCAAGCAACAGAACCTACAGCATCCTGCAGTCAACTTTGTTTCCAAAACACAAAACCCTAAATCATCGCAAATCTCAGCCCCCAAACTTCATGAGGTTGGAATACGTGTTAGGACATGGGACAGTGTAGGAAAATGTAAACAGCCCTACTGCTTCCCACCGCTATTGTGCGATTTGGTAGCGGTGGCCTTGGGTGCGGGCTTCTCTTTGGGCGCCGCTTTCTCCGCCTTCTCCTCTTGTGGTGGGCTCTATCGTGCTCACCGTTTAGGGTCTCAGGTCTTAGGACGAAGGGAAGCTTCACGATTTGCTTTCCCAAAGGGTCCTATGTACTGTTATAGGGGATACTTCCCTAAGTCATAATAGTAATTCCTACTATGGAAACCCTACGTTCTACTATATCGGTACATGGGACCCCTTGGGTTTAAACCGGCTGGATGGCCTCCACCAATTTCACGCCCCAGAACGCGTTCAGCTCCACAGGTTTTCGGCTTCGGCTCGGGAGTGAAGGGCTTGAACGTAAGACCCGGAACCTCAAACCGCACCCCTAAACCCTAAACCTTAATCCCTAAACCCTAAACTCTTCAGGTTCAGGCGTTGGGACACTGACGAGCTGCCGCCCTACGAGAGCGCAAGCTCAAACCAGAATCCTGCACCCTTGCTGCTCTCACTCCTAGAGCCCAGAAAGCTGAAAACGGCATGCTAGACCCAAAGGGTCCAAGTGGTGCACTATATACTCTTGGGGCCCAAGTATCTATACTATGTAGTCACTATCTATTGCGACTTGGACCCTTTGGGAAAAACCCGCCTTGCCGCCCTTCGCCGCGCCGCCAGCCTCCCGGGGAGCAGCTGCCGTGGCTTTGAGTTACTGCGCCTTTAAGTAACCAGGGAGAAAAAAGTATAAACTTTTATTGCATAGTGTGGGCTTGGTTTCAGAGTTTCGGGGCTTGCAGGCTTTTGGTTTCGGAGTAACGGCAACCAGCTCAAAGATTGAGCCGGATTTTGCGCGGCTTAGGGCTTAAGATATGTAATTATTTACGTTTGGGGGTTGCAAGAACCCCCCAAAAAAACCCTAAACCCCCTAAACCTTGAACCCTTGGGCACCTTGCTGCAGAGCTTGACATCGCCCAAGATCGCCTTGAACTCTGGCGTGCCAACGCACGTGTTGAACCAGCGCATCAAGTTGGTGTACCTGACGGGCTTGAAGCTTGGGGCTATCAATGATACCGCCCTAACTCTTAAAACCCTAGGTTTAGATTCATTCCTCACATTTGATGGGGGTTTGTATGTAAGACATTGGGAAACACAGAGGCTGTCAAGTTTGCCGGATCGATGCTTCCGGATGCGGCATGTATAACGTCCGCGGGCGGCGGTTGAAGAGCCGTGGTTGTCCAAGCAAAGGCGGTTTGGTTGAGAATAGCCACTTTGCGGCTTGTAATATGAACACATGTTCGTGTCTATACCCCACACGCAGATGTATTCAAAAACGTAAGTGTTATATATATATATATATATGTATGTGTATATATATATATATGTATATATATATATGTATATATATATATGTATATGTATATATATATATATAACAGACATGTAGACATGACCTGGGCTTTGTTGAGTTAGGGACTAGAAGTTGGGGGCAGCTCCAAAGGGCTTGGGGCTCGAGGGAGCCCGAGCCTTGGACTTTCGAGTTTCGCGGAAGCTGCGAACACCTAGGCCCTACTAATGGGCCAAAAGGGTCCCATGTACCGATATGGTAGAATGTAGGGTTTCCATATTAGGAATTACTACGGTTGATGATACAAATCCTGCATTACCTTAAAGACCCTAAACTGTGGGAATTATGGGATATTCCTTATTATGGGTAATGCAGGATTTATATCATCAACCGTATTATACCTAAGCCCTACTAATCTGGGTTGTAGTTTTGGGGCTCTGAAAAATAATTTATGACTAGGTACCTCTATTGGAACCATAAAGGGAAATTAAAAAGTGTCCCAAAATTGCCACCTAGTAATGGGTTACCGGCGTTCATGTCATATGGGTGGTTGTCAAAATTATGGCCCCATTTTGGGTACCCGAGATAATAGGTGCCGTATTATAGTAGGGACCCACAAAGGGACCATAATTTTGACAACCACCCATATGGTTAGTAACCTACTATTTGGGCAGGTGGAGCCCTAGGGTACAGTCGTATTGCTGGTAGTAATAACACTGATATTGATAGATATTGCGCATCATGAAACGTGCTGCTGCTTGTGTAGGTTGGCAATGGCAGAAACTGCAGATCAGGTGAACTGTGTACTGTTACGAATATTGTATACAAATCAACAATGGTAATCAATGATTGGCAACAGAATAAGACAGACTGGTCTTGGTGGTGGTGGCGGTGATGGTGAAAACACCAGCAGTGGTGGTGGAAGAAGGGGCAGTGGTAGGTGTCAGCACCAGGTATGCCTCGCGAATGTTGCTGAATGTGTAAATCAAGAGGCTACCTCGGACAATTTGCTTTCGATGTTGGTAAGTTACCGGCCTGAACAAGTGTAAAGGGCTCTTGGGGTGATAATGTACTAAAAAATTCACAACTTGTTCCGACCCCTAATGAAACCGAGTAGCTGCTTCCGAAAGCCCTCATCGAAGACTTTCTGCATGCCGTCGACAAGGGCGCAGCAGACTGAAATGTCAGCCAATGTGACGGAATGTCCTTGTGAGGCATAGCGTCAGCAGTTGTTGAGCATGAGGCTCCCTAAGAGGTCAGATTACCTGGGCAGCCTCCGCAGAATTACCTGGGAGGGAGACCCCAGGTTAGATCAAGACACGGTTTTTTTCACTGTCATGATAGTGATGTGATGTGCCCAAGCTCTGCCATCTTGCTTGCAAACGATCTGCCGCACGAGTCGGGAAGTATAGCGGAGTGGCTTCGTACACCTCTGATGCCTCGACCACCGAATCAAGATCCTCAATACTTCAACTAACTGGCCCAAATTGTGTGGACGGCCTAGGGTTTGGAGGAACCTGCCCAATTTATGCGAGGCCTG